AGGCCCTGCTTGTCGGGTCGTCTGGAGGGCCCTCAGAAGGACATCGCACGAATGCCGGTGCTCCTCCCTCGTTGTGTGCCTCAGTCTGGGGGGGGGCCCTCAGAATCGGTGACCACATGTGGACCCTACCCCCCCCCCCCCCCGATTTCTAAGAGGGGGTGGGAGGGTTCACTTCGTGTGGGAGCTCCCGCGCGAAGTGAGCCCCGACCCTCCCTCCTTAGAAATCGTGCGAGGTGGGGGTAGGGTTCACATGTGGTCGCCTGCAGAAAGGCGTCATACGGCTGCCGACGCGCCTCCCTCGTCTTGACTTCTGGGTCTTTAGGGGCAGCCTTGCTGCGCTCCGTCGTTTGTGCGATTGCAACCAAGTCTGCGTAGCGCACAGCAAAAGGTATCCGCGAATGGAAGATGCACCACATATGTGGCTTGTGTTATTGACGCTTCGCGTATCCCCACCGGCAAGCACGTAGTGGAAAACCCGTTGATAAACACATGTGGGAACCAAGCTTTACCCTTGACGCGGGATCCAATCCAGCATCGCGCCTACTGCGTCCAGAATCGAGTCCAGGCAAACCCAAGCAGTCATGGGGAGCTGGTGAGGAGGACGAGGATGAGGATTGTTTGAGCCATGTGTGGGCGTTCTTGTACCATTTTGGGGTTTTCTTGGGGCTCTCTCGGGACCCTCTTGGGGACAGCACGGAGGAGGAGGAGGAGGAGGAGGACTAGGAGGAGGAGGACGAGAAGGAGGAGTAGGTGGAGGAGGGGGACGAGGTGGAGGAGGAGGCGGATGAGGAGGGCGACGACCAGGGCAAGAACACGCGAGTGGACGAGGACGATGAAGACGAGTAAGACGAGTAGGAGGAGGAGGAAGAGGAGGAGGAGGAGGGGGAGGAGGAGGATGAGGACGGCGACGACGAGGAGGAGGAGGAGGACGGCGAAAACGGAGACGAGGACGAGGACGATGAAGAGGAAAGCGAAAACGAGGAGAAGAAAAAGAAGAAGAATAAGAAGAAGAAGAAGAAGAAGAAGACGGAGAAGGGGCAGGAGGACAACGAGGACGAGAATTCATGGTGGCATCTTGGAGTCTTCTGGGGGTCCTCTGGGTATTTTCCTCGGGTCCTCCTTGGGTCCTCTTGTGGTCCAAGTGGAAGGCTGAGAAGTCCTCGCACAATTGTCTCACGTGTGGCAGCCACACCAAAAGGTCTTGTGCGGCAGCTGTTCACGACAGGAGTTGTGGTGGCGGCCTTGCACAACTATTACATGCGTGGCAGCCTGGCAAAGGGCTTCTTGTTGCGGCAGCCTTTACAACAGGTTAGTCCTGTTGTGGTGGCCGTGCCGAAAATAATCAATTCCGCGGCGGCTTTTCATCATTTGTGACGGCCTGACAACATGACCCCATTCACAACACACTTACAAACCGTGAGCTCTGTCGTGGCATCCTTTGCACAAGGAATATCTTATGGCGGCCTTACAACAGGATATTATTATGCGGGCGCATGGCAAAAGGGTTCCTTTGTGGGGCCCTTGCAGAAGAATTCCTGGTGTGAGAAAAATGATCCTGGGTGTAAGCCAGGAGGATGAAGAAGAACACAGCAGACGTAACCTCAACACCAGCACGTCAAATAACATGGTCACTGAGAAACGTGTTGTGTTTTCAATGGTTGTGGCGTCGGATGCAAAGATGAACTATGACAATACAGCGTTCTTGATGGGAGAGGCCTTACGCCCAGTGCCGCCGACCCTGGAAGATTACCCTCACGATGCAGGATGTGTTCTGAGGTGTTCGGGAAGGCTGGAAGGCACCCCAAACCTATGGAAGTTCAACTGCGGCGCTTTGGGGATTTGTCCGACATGTCTCTTGAAGCGTATTGGATGCGTCTCGAGCCGTCTCGAGGACATTTAGGACAGTTTGGGGCGATGCGTGGACGACTCTCAGCTCTCTTGGGCTCCTCGTGGATTATCTTGGGATCGAATTGCCGAAGGCGCGGGAGTGCACTTTGTCCCAGGACCCCCCCAGGACTCCCCCGAGAACCCCCCCGCCAATGGGAAAGGGATCAAATGGGAAGGGGCTTTCCCTTCGAGTTGCCGAAGGCGCCCCCTCCAAAAGAGGAGTGGGGCAGTTGATTCCAACACAGGAGCTCTCCCCGGGGCCTTCCCCGGACCCACCACCCCCTGGGTGGGGACGGGGCTCCAGGGAAGGGGCTCCCTTTCGAATTGCCGAAGGCGCCCCCCAAAAGGGGAGCAGGGGGAGGGGAGTGCAATCTGCTCCAGGACCCTCCCCCTTCCCAGGACCCCCTCGGACCTCCCCCCCCCCCCCCCCTCGTGGGTGGGGAGGGATCCAAGGGAATGGGTTTCCGCCCGAATCGCAGAAAGCTCTCCGCGAAATGGAAAGGGGGGGGAGTGCATTCTGACCCAGGAGCCCTCCCTGCACCCCCCCCAGTGGGAAAGGGATCAGCCGGAGGGAGCCGGCTTGCCTTCGGTGCGGCAGCGACCGCGACTGCGACCTGGCTCCGCTCCCCTCGGGCTGACGAGCGAGCCTGGCGCGCCACGGGAGGCCTCGGGAGAGATTGCCGGAATGGAAGAGGGAGTCGAACGAAAGATCGTTTTTGAGGTGGAAGGTTTCTCCGAAGGGCTTAGGCGACCCGTCCTCCTCCTCCTCCTCCTCCTCCTCCTCCACCACCTTTTCCTCCTCCTCCTCCCTCCTCCTCCTCCTCCTCCCCTCCTCCTCCTCCTCCTCCTCCTCCTCCTCCTCCTCCTCCACAATTACTCAGTCTGAATACTACTACTCTCCCTCTTCCCCTGATGACGGTTTGAAAGTGCTCGACCCCCCCCGCGTATTGTTTTTTACACACAGGTTTCCCCGGAGTTGGGTTTTCGCCTGCATTTTTTCCAAAATGCTGATCTCGCTGAGGCGCTGGCCTCATTTTCGGGACCCGCTCGTTCCGAATCGTGCTCCCGCTGCAGCGCTGGCCTCATTTCCGTGCTTCCGCTCGTTCCGAATCGTGTTCCCGCTTCAGCGCTGGCGTCATTTCCGCTCGTTTCGACTCGTGCTCCCGCTGCAGCGCTGGCGTCATTTCCCGTGCCATGCCACGGCATGCAATGCAATACTAGGTTGATACTACGCTTTGCGGTGCTCTTCTACGCCATGCCATGCCGTGCTCTACAATGCATCGCGTACCCTTTCGGGATCATTGCCCTGCTCGACTCCCGACTGTGCGAGTAGAGAGGAGATCTACGCCATGGTGAGGGATGGGAGGGAGGGGTAGGATGTCAGATATGACGCGAGCGCACCTAGCTTGTTTCCTCCCCCTCCCCCTCCCCCTCCTCCTCGGGTCGCCTACGGCCCTGGGGGAAGCCGTACATTTTGGCACTGTGAGGACCACTTGGGGACGAACGACCCAAAATTCCTTCTCACGCACGCCGACAGGGTCGGCGGCTTTTAACCAAGACAGCGCAGCGTCTTGGGTCGTCGTTTTGAAGGGACAACCCCCCGCGTTCTCATCCCGCTTCCTTCCTCCGGCCTCCTCCCTTCTCCCGCCCAGCTTGCTCCGCAAACGGGTGCGCCACAGATCGCCAGAGCAGTATCTCCTGCCCGCACGGCAGGCTTGCGAAGTCCCCTGGTGGGCCCTCAGGGCGTCGTAGCAAGTATGCTGTTGCTTTAAACTCGTACGGTGAGACCAGGAGCAGCCCAGGCTTCTCACGAGCGGACGATCCGACCCAATGCCCCCCGAGCTCGATTCCGATTCCGACCCCTTGCCTGGGGTGGTGCGAATCTCACGACAGCCTTGTCCGCAAGCGTTCGGGTACTTCCGCGCTTGTAGAAGGGGGGGGCCTGTAAGCTTCAACCTCCCCACAGAAACTGAGGCTGAGGATCTGACGTGTAAATAAAACTCAGCCGATATTATATACCAGATCCATAATCATACCACAATTCTGTGTATCAGAGATTTAGCATGCGCACTAATGCGAAGCGATTCCTGTGTGTTGTATGTTCATATGTACACAAACCGCGTGCAATATTTCATGCTAGTTATGGTTCCATACTGGGTTTGCGTCCGCCAATATCATGTTACACACACTTTTATTGTAGGTTTGGGTGCGGACAATCTGGTTTGAACTGCGCTGGGGGGTGATATTTTGGTAAGGCCGACATGTGCATATACACATCGCGCTCGAGATTCTTAGGCAAGCCGTACCACATGCAATACAAAAAACGTGTCGGTGCCGACGTCAAACCACTGCCAATATGTTGTTGCTGACCCGTGTGATGTACCATAACTTGTACTAATACCGTGGGAGCTCGGTTCGGCGTGTTCACGTTAGCGCGTTGCGTGCACATCACTGCGCTCGGTGTCTGCCCCGTGTGTCCCCCGGTGACCAACTGCCCACCCTTAGCCCATGGGATGTGACGATGGGCGGGCTTTCAGAGAGCGTTGCGCACCGACATGTGGCACGAGCGGTAGTGCATTATCATGTTGCGTGCTTGTGCTTTTCCACCTTCAGTGGTATCGTTCAGTATCGGTCTGACTTGGATCGCGGGGCCCTCCTCGATCGCCGCTGCTGGATTCGGCACGACCCCATGCTATGGTCCTGGCGCGCCGCGCTAGCTTCTAGTTATGCGTTCGTTTGTTTCTGGACAGCCTTGGCCTCGAGGTGTGTTTTCGTTGGGTCTGGGCTGTGTCTTTGGGTCCAGTGGAGCGGGCCGTTTTGGCCCAAGCATTTGGAGCATGTCGTCCCTTCAGATTCGAAGGCAACTTGCAATTGCTGTCCGGGCGTACGTGACCACGGCGCCCGATGGAGAGCTGATTATTCTTCGTGACTCGTTGCCCGCTCTTCTGTCTCAGATGTGTCGGGTCACTCAGCTGGCGGCGAGCAGAATCCTTGCCAGGAACAGTTCGCCGCGCTGGTTCCACGGAGCAAATTATCTGGCACTGGCGCTGCCCAGTATCTTGCGAGATGCGTTTGGCAGGCACGATGTGCCATCCACAGAGCAGTGGGCGCAGATGCTGGCTCTGGCACCGGCGGTGCAACCAGCACCGCCACTCCAGCTGGTAGCAGTATCAGCAGCGGCGGCGCCTGTGCAGCCATCACCCGCTGCGCCAGCCGCTGCAGGTGTGCAGACTTCTTCGTCATCAACTGCCGTCGTGCCCGCCGATGCGATTGTGCCATCGGTTGCGCCGACAGATCTTGTGCCAATATCTGCAGACAGCTTGATGACCAACCGTGGCCATCGACGACAGCTTACCTTGGTTGCGCAGAGTTACAGGTCGTTGCCCAACGACACTCTTGTGAGGCTGTTGGAACTGCGTGACCAGGAGCGTGAATGTCTTATCTCATCGTACCGGGCCCGTTGCGACGAGCAGCAGCGTGCAGCGATTCGCGACGCGAAGCTCATCAAACGTCTGTCAGATGAGGTCGCCCGGCTGAAAGGTGCTCACGAGAACGTGTCTCAGTTTCAGATTACGCGGGGGCCCAAGAATGTGAAGTTGACGGTGAATGGCTCCACGGCGCTGGCAGTTCGCAGGAATATGGCAAATGTTGCCGCATCTGCATTTGGAGCCATTACGCTCGAGGATGTTTCACAGTGGACGGTTTGCAGGGCCGAGGTGACGCTTGGTATGCGACTCGTGGCGAGCTTCAATGCATTCCATCGCCAGTACGAGAGTGATATTGTGGATCAGCTGCTGTCGGCGCGTCGCCGACCGCCACCATCTTGTCCATCAGTGTGCTGCCTTGCGGTCCATCGGTTCCGCTCCGACGCAACCAATGGCAGTGTATGGCAGAAGAGCAAGCTCTTGACCACCGAATTGGAGAGTATATACGTGTGTCGAGATGCTATGGCGCTGCGCGCTGGTTACGACGACATCAATCATGCTGTTTGGTCCTCTTCGCCGAGTATGCGGCGAGTGCTGGACTTGCAGGTTGTATCCGATGGGAGCGGTGACGCCTCGTACAATATGCTGAGAAAAGTGTGTATGCTAGCGGGCTTCGGTTGGCTCACCCCCCATCCGCCGTGCGACGGCGCCGACGAGTCGATCGAGCCGCCCACGGTTGTGAACTGGCGGCTGATCATGTACATTTCAGATGGCGGCCCGGACCAGGTGGGGCGGGGGCCGCATGGAGGGTGAGCGCGGGTCAAGGAGGCGGCGGCGGGGGAGAAGAAGACGAGGAGGCGTAGGGAGGAGTGGAGGGGAGGGGGAGGAAGCTACTGAGGAGGAGGGGGATGAGATGAGGTGAGAGGCGGAGGGAAGCGGAGGATGAGGAGGAGGAGGAGGAGGATTCCGAGGCGTGAGATGTTATGAGATCCTCAGCGGCAGCGATGCAGCGAGAATAGGATGGTGCACGCTCGAGGGGCCGATCCTTTGTCTCAGCACAGCTCGACTCGCCGGCGGCAGCTGGTGGCTAGCGCGGCTGGCCAATCGCGTTGCTTACACTCCCCGTGACACTCCCCTATCCTCATCCGCCCTCTCCTTGTCCGACCCTTGCCCCCCCCCGTGATGGTATGTTGCTCGAGTCTCTGCCTCCCTGGCCCCCCCCTCCTAGCCTGCTGCTCTGCCGCTGCGGCTGCCACGTGCTCCACCCCTCACCCTGCCACCCATCCCCCCCCACAGCACCCCAGCATCTCCCCTCGGGATCGGGGCGGGAGGTGGGCTTCAAGAAGCTGCTCAAGGCGGCGCTCGAGCACGCCCGGGGCGTCACGCTGCTGGACCTGAGCTGCTTACACCACATGCACAGCCTCATTCAGAATGATATCCTGAAGGTCGTGGACAATTGGTTGCATTCTCGCTTGGACCATCAGTGTCCTGTCTGGCATTATTACTCTTCCCTCACCAAGATCAACATGGTCTGGAGAGATAATGCCAGGTCCGTCTTCTCCCACTGGTCCAGACACAACGGCGGCCCGGGCATGCGAGATAGAACGACACCAGCTTGGCGACATCAAATTGAAACATGTTGGCCCTGTGGGCCCGAGTTAAAGTAGTCATTTTATGCACGCGCTGCGGTGGCAGTGATGCGACTGCTAAGCTGGAGTCGTTCCCTCTCTAACTGTGGCTAAGATCGCTCTCCTCTATCCCCTTGCGCTGTCGCCGCGGCTGGACGCGGCTCAAAAGACTGGTCGATCTGTGTCCCCGTGAGCGGTCTGGAAATCTGGGGGCACGTTTTTGGACGGAGACAGGCGCGCTGTCTGCCCTCAAGTTCGCCAAGCGCCTGCCACCCCGCACGATTGCTGGGCGATGGGGTACTGCTGCGACCTTCCAATCCCTCCTGTGCAGCGCCGGTGCTGGATGCGTGGAATATACATTTGCTGCTGTCACCAGCTGTCAGTGCGATCGTACTGCAGCATGCCGAGCAAGAGCAAGAGCAGGGCGTGCTGCTGGGGCTGCTGGGCGCGCGGGGTCTCAGTGCGTGGGGGTAGGGTGCCAAGCTTCGGGTGTTGTCGGCTCCTCGTTCATCCTTCCACCGTCCACCCCCCTGTCAGGACGGCATGTCCGCCCTTTCGGTCGAAGGGCGGCTTAGTTGAGACATGACGGGCCCCGATGATGAGGATCGAGGAGAGGTGACAGACGAGGAATGACGAGGATGAGGAGTCCGGAAGAGGACGAGGACGATGCGGACGACGACACAGAATGATGACGGAGTCTAGGACCCAGGTGGCACTATGAGGAATTGGCGGAGGAGTCGGAGGAGGAGGTGTTGTAGAGTAAGACACTTACTCCGCCAATCCCTTTTACTCAGTAAGAGGGATTGGCGGGACGAATGATGGCCCCCATCATTTGTCGCATCGCATCCTCATTCCGAACTTGCCCCCCCATCATTGATGGGAGGGCAAGTTCGGAATGAGGATGCGTGGAGGGATGCAGATGATACAGCCGGGGTAAGGGGAGAGAGCATATCGCATCCGCTAGGCCCGACGCTGATCCCGACGAAGCTGGCGATGCCGCTGCTGGCGTTGTCGTACCTGCGGGCGGGCAGCACGCGGACGACCCGCGCTTGGACGATTTGGCGCACAGGCGCGCTCAGACGGGGAGATGGAAACGTGATGTGATGGCGGCTGTGCACGACCCGTTGTTTTGGGCATCCGTTACCATTGGTGACATGGCGGCTCAGCCGCTACTTGTTTTCCAGCACGCCCTGGAGGCCCGAGCCATGGCCAGTAACCGACACGCCCCAGATCTCGGAGATGTCGGCGGCGACCTTGCTCGCATCGTGTATCCAGCAGCAGGCGCGACCAATGGCTATGCCGCATCGGTTGAGCTCATGTGGACCATGGAGTTGTGCAGGGTTGACTGGCATGCCAGAGTTCACTCGTCGGATGAGTGTCCCGACGCACTGGGTGCATCTCGTTATCTTGAACTCGCTGCCTTGTCCTTGTGCCACAATGCATGCTCATTCTTTCGTCGTGTACATTACTTGTTGAAGCAATTACCCCTGGCCCTCTGCTGGTTTGCATACCGGGCTCCTGATGTGCGTTGCAAGTTTCGCCGAGGAGTGGGCGGTGGTGGTAAAATCCTACACCCACGCCCGCGCCCAGGGGTCTCTGTGGGCATGCGGAGAGACTGAGAGGCTGGAGGATGAGGAGATGGGAGGATCAGGAGAGTATGTAAAACCTCGGAGGGGTCCACTCGGGAGCGGGGGACCTGGGAACGGCCACGGTTTCTGCGGGCCGCCCCTTGCCCGCCCCCTCCCTGCCAGGACTGGCCCAGACTATTGTGGCGACCGCTCCGGCCGACCTGGAGGTGAACACGCAGAAGCTGTTCGTCCAGTTTGCAGATGACTTTAGACAGGCGGCTGCTACAGGGTGCGTGTCCAAGGGCGGCATCTACGTGATTGCATTGGGTATCAAAGTTTGGGCGTGGGCTGATACTCAAGAGTTAGAGGGCATGAACTCACTCATCAAGCTGAATTGTGACAGATGTCCCGCCATCTCTCTTTCGCTTCTCTCGTCCAGGATTTCTGCCAAGAAGGCAATGGGTATCGGGGCCCGGGGCAGCAGCTTGAGGTTCAGCAGCATACGACCTAAAGCATCGGACTTGATGGATCAATGCACGCATTGGCCCACGCCCGAGTCTTTGAATATTGTCAAGAGCTGCGTAACCAGATGGGAGTCGGTACGTCTCGGGCCAGATGGCTGGCAGTATGAGTTGCCAGGTTTGCCACCAGCGCAAGCATTGCCACCCTCCCGCATCTGGACTACAGCATACAACATTCTGTGGCACAGGGCATGTAAGTCGCCAGACTTTACGCGTTGCTGGAGCTTTAATGATATTCAGATTGGTGGTGTTGTGTATTTGTGCGCGGAGAAGAACCGCAGCCTTGGCATGTTCATCCCTTGTGATATCAATGCTTATGATGACGCCGCCGAGTCGTACGTTGCACACATTCGCATGCCGTTGGAACCCACATTCTCGACGGATGGCCTGATCATGCCGCAGTATGACGCGTTGCAGGCCACACTCGTACTTCAAATCTTTGTATGATGCCTGTCTCTCTCATTGTACCCCCCCCCATCTCCCCGCCCCGCGGGGCCCTGCAGGGGCAGGGGGGCGTCGTGGAGTCGCCTCCCTGCCCCTGCAGGGCCACATGTGACGACACCAATGCATGTGCATGGGGGGTGGTTTGTCACTGTGCACTCTTGCCAACGTTGGCCGGAGGCTGACAAGGGCGCCTCCGTGAAGCTGATGTCCTACGCGGTGCGGTGGGGCGCGGACGCCAAGCACGTGCATGGTGGCGTCGCACTTGTGCCAGCAGGTGCCGCTGATATGTCCTGCACCATGCGGCTGCGCATCCCGGTGGCGAGCGCCTCCGAGATATGTGCGCTGAGGCGCCTCGCTCTCTGCTGCGGTGTGCTACCTTGGCTGCGTGTGTCGTGCTTGGGTATGCAGCGGCATCGGTCTCGTATCAAGTATATGGTGTCACTCGGCACGTGCGTGCAGGTAGTTGCGGGCATGATCACGCGCGTGTTCTTGGACGCGCGGTGCCATCTAGCTGTCGCGCGCCCCCCCCCTCCTGCTTTCGCCTCCATCTTGTGATTTCTCATGTGTCCGCCCCCCTTTCCATCTCTCATTGACTCTATCGCTCGTCGGACTTCCCCACGCCTTCCGCTGGTCCTCAGACGTCCTCACGTCGCCCCCACGCCTCCCCGCATCATTATCATTCCATGATTGCGCCCGCTTCCTCTGCCGCCTCCTACTCCGCGCGCTGCCAGGCACTCCCTGCCCAAGTCGGTCAAGACGAACACGACTACGAAGAAGACGAAGAAGGTGCAGGCGCCCGCGGCGGACGCCGCGGACGACACGGATGACGACGACGGCGATCATGGCGACCATGGCGACCATGGCGTCGTCGACGGCCCGGTCGACGGCGTGGTCAGCGACGACGGATCTGACGATGCGATTGATCCCGAGCTGTTGGCGGAGCTAGCCCATGATTTTATGGCTGCTGCCGTCGACGAATCATCATCGACACATGATGCAGACGCCGTTGCTACGGCAACCGCCCTCGGGGAGACGCCCGAGACAGCTGTTGCAGCGAGCCACAGCCCCGCGTTCGGGCTACACGCTGAGCATGGCGATGCTGATGGCGACGTCGACGTCGGGGCTGGCAGCGCTGGTGGCGCTGATGACGCGAAGCATCCTGACGTCATCGCTGCAGCGTGCTCTACACTGATCGAGGAACCTTGTGCGGTACGCTTCAGATGCCAACCCGACCCACCCCTTTTGTCACCACCCACGGGACCCACTGGGCTTTGTGTCGCATCGCCTCCCTCCCCCCTCAGCCCGACCCTGCCATCTCCCCCCCCCCCTGCTCCTCAGCCCAGGGGCCCTGAGGGTCCGAGGATAACCGTGCGTGGTCCCGTGGCCGCCACCTGGGTTGGTCTGTAGAGAGGTCCACCATGTCCCTGAGTGAGTAGTGGGTATACGGTATAGTGATAGAGGTAACTAGGGCAGGGTCCCAGTCGGGGCCTGTTGCATCGGGCACTACAGCACGGTCCCGAAGGAGTGTCCAGGCTACTCCACAGACCCCGCTGAACTCCAGCTCGACGCGATCATCAGCCACGCCGAGCTCGGTGACGTTGTCTCGGCCGCAGAGGCAGCTGTATCAGCTGCAGCAGCATCGACACAGCCAGCATCAGCCTCAGCAGAACCATCGTCATCATCGGGTGCCGACAGCAGCGGCGGCGGCGGAGTAGATGCAGCTGGGCTCTTCTTGCACTGCAATATTTGCGCGGCCGACGACATGATCCGATCGGAATCTTTTCAGAGATGGCAGGTGTCAGTGATGGAGGGTGTCGCTGCCTTGCAGGCTCGCGCCGACTCTTTGGCGCTCCCCGTTGGCGGAACCCTTGCAGCGCCATTTCAACTCTCGCTTGTTGACGTGCTGCTCGAGGGCCCCGATGGTTCCGAGGGCGACGGGGAACGGAGTGTGAGATTACTGCATTGGGTCGACCCCAAAACGTTGACAGGTAGATCGCCCGGTATTCATCGTCGGCACCGTCCCGAGGGCGATGTGTTTGAGCCATGCTATGTCCTCTCTCAGGGGGCAGACAAAGACGTGTCCTGGAGAGATCGCGTCCAGGAGGTGGTCATGAATACGATCGGCATTCGCATGGTAAAGCCCCGGGACTCCAGGGACGCCGTGCCAGCTACAGTGATGCATATGAAGCGTATGTGGGAGGCAGCGTTGGCAGCCATGCACGGCGATCACGTGTGTGAAAGTGTTGCCCTGCCATCATGTGCCCTATGTAGATCGGGAGTTGTT